GGAAACTGAATTCAGAAAAATAGGGCTCATTAAGAGTCGAAAACGGTGCAACGAATCGTTTTCTTTCTATAATAATTAAATCAAACGTCTAAGCCTTTCGCGCTTCGCGCGGGAAGGGGGAAACCGAATTCAGACAAGGATTAAGAGTCGAAAATGGTATAACGAATCGTCTGCTTTCTCTAATGATTAAAGGAAACGTCAAAACTTCCGCGCTTCGCGCTGAAGAGGGAAACTGAATTCAGACAATCAGGGCTTATTAAGAGTCGAAAACGGTACAACAAATCGTCTCTTTCTCTAATATTTTAATGAAACGTAAAAGTACACCGAATCGTCTGCTTTTTCTCATAATTTATTAAAACGTCAGAGCTTCCGCGCTTTGCGCGAGAGGGAGAAACTGAATTCAGACAAAAGGGGCTTATTAAGAGTCAAAAACGATACAACGAATCGTCTGATTTTTATCATAATTTAAGGAAATGTCTAAGCTCCCGCGCTTCCAAGGGGATAATTTTTTGGGGGAGATTTTTTCCGGGGGGATGTCCTTGGGGGGTAAATATCCCGCTGGTAATCGGCCGGGGTGTGATTGTCCAGGGGCTAATTGTCTTAGAACCGTGAGGGAGTTATCCAATCTATCTAGCAATGTGTAGACCGTCAATATCTAGCTCCCTACTCAAAAGCACTGACGGATGAGACTGAAAAACGATTAAATATGTCGTCCATGATTCACCTAGGAAAGATTGGGGTTGTGGCTACTGGCTAGTTGTATATGAAATGGATATGGGTTTGAAGTATAGGAGGTATTGCAAGAGCCTATTATCTCACTGGAAAGTCGTATTGAGGAAGACTGTTCAACAACCTGCAGGGTGCAGAAGCAGAGATAGATTTAGCGCCAAGCAGAGCATTTTCAGAAAGATAAAGCACTGCCATTTTGAGGACATAACGAATGAAAGTACTTTCCCCAAATTACAGACAAATCTCAACCACAGCACCTGCAGATGACAAAAAATAGAATTGCACATTGCATTTTTGAGACTTCCAACTCCCCCTACCATTTAATACGTTCCATCTTCAATCTTCTGATTTATTCGATACCGGGGATTTATGTTGCTGCGATGACATCATTTTCCGGGATTTTTCTCACTTTTTAGTAAATAATTTATTTAATGCATATGTTGGGAAACGACAAATTCCCAAATTTACCGTCAGGCAATAAATATGCTTATTTAGAGGCTTACATGCGTTCTGATGGGGAGGGGCTTGGGGCAGTTGATCCCACAAATAAAATTCAAACGTGGTTTATTTTTCAATTTGATACCAGTGGTTTTCCGGGGTTTTTTCTCTCATTTTTGCCGATTATGCCAGAGGCGGTCTTCCCGGGGAAATGTGCCCCCCCCCCCCCCCCACTTTTTCAGGTTCCCCGAAAAGCCACTTTTCACATAAGACAAGTGCCCTTCTTCTTTTCTAATAACTGTCCCTTTCCTCTCTTTTTGTCTCTGGTGAGTACGTCTTTTCAGGTGCGAAAAACTAATTGTCCTTTTCACCTCTGATATTTTTGCCATTTTTTCCTTTGAGTCGTGCCCGTTTTCCTTTTTAATAAGTCTGCTTTTTCCTTCTTAATAAGAACCCCCTTCTTAATAAGAACCCCCTTCACTTTCTCCTAAATGCCACCTTTCACCTCTGAAAAGTGCCTCTTTTATTTTGACACGAGCACTTTTTATTTTCTAATAACTGTCCTTTTCCCTTTTGATTAGCGCCTACTTTTCCTTTCTCCATTAAAACATGCACCCAGTCTAAAAATAATAAAGGTTTTGTTGATGTTTCCCTTTGTAGGTTTTTTTTCCAGAAAGTGCTCTCTTTTTTTGGTGACCCCCTTCCTATTTTGAAAGACGCTCCGCCGCCGCTGCATTATACTACTTGGGGGTGATAAGAGTTTTGTTCTGACCTCCCAAACGTGTTTGCTCGGTACGCCACTGCATGGGGGCTCCGCCCCCTAGACTCCACGCTAATTAGTGTCGTGCCAGTGTCACAAATAAGGTATAAATATATGCTCATCAAACCGTAACTCAACGCCTAAGACAAAGGCCATAAGGTGGAGCCCTGGATGCTCATGTGACCGTAAATTAAGGCCTAAAACCCCCGAGCTTCCGGGGGCTCCGCCCTCTGCACGAGGCTAGCAGGAGTGAAGACAGGGAGTTTTCCCATGGCGCGGAAGTCGATAACCTCTCGTAAGAGGGAATGAACTTACTTTAATAATAAACGGAGTTTAACAAATGAAATAAAACAAACAATCAACAAACAATAAAAGAACAAGAACCCCCCCCCCCCCCACGCCCCCCCCCCCAAAAAAAAGGTTCCAAGACTAAAATTCTAATAAAAAAACTTTGCGAAACGACGTTGTGATAACATAGGGTGCGTTCAAGCGACATTTTTCACCCCAGAAATTTTCAAAGACGTATAGTTTACAACAAGGTTGCGTTCAAGCGAATCCAAGCGATTTTTCGTCGGTCGTAAAAGTAAACGTGTTTCAAAACGCAAACATAAAACGCTGGAAGAAAAAAAAGCGTTTTGTAACGTTATTCTGAAGAATCAAGGTCGCTAAAAATCACTTGAACGCAAAAAAAATCTCAATCATGATTCTATGACGTCATTATTGTGGCCTGCTTCCGTTTTTTTCCCGATAGTTGACTGTAAACAAATTAAGAACGCGCTCGCTGAAGTTGACCTATATGCTTTCTGGGTCAAACTGCGCAGTATGATGCACAGTGGCTGGGTTTGAAATGAGCGAGAATCAGCTTTGATGGAAACTCGTTTGAACGATCTCCCGCAGTAACCGTGTTTTGTAACGGCGTTTCGATTTGTGATTAATGTTTGTGATTCTAGCTTTAAAAAATCACTTGAACGCACTCATCGTCTATCAAACACTAAGGGATTTTTAGATTTAACCGCATACGTTCTATCTCAGAATAAACTATCGAATATCAATACACCAAAAGTATAAAAAAATAAACAATTTTTTTACCTGAGATTTTTTGTTTGCAAATAAATATATCTTGTTGGATGAATGTTCTATGCTATTGGCATAAGGTAAGTAAAAGATACGAGACAAACCGATAAGTAAAAGGCATGGTACCAATAGAGGGAGGCACTAGTCATTATGCTCGTTTTATGAAGGTTCGTTTATTAGGTCGCCAGCCTACGAGACGAGCACTGAGGGTCCAAAGTGTTGTCGGTCTAAAGCGAACACTCTAGAGAACTTACGACACCGTCATTGTCGGTCTCGTGGGCTGTAGCCTGGTCTGTAACTCGAGAGACACTTGTGTCTCTTAAGGTTCATCATTCCGAAGATTCGCAATGCCAAACTTCAATTTTACATACCAAATGGTTCATACTTTTGAACATGACATTGTTGCGTCATTCCAAAAGTTCGTTAAACCGAGGGTTTGTAATTCTGAGAGTTAAATAGGGTTTATTTTGTATGGACATATTCATATCTCTATAGGGCTAGAGACTTTTTAGGAGGAAGGGAGAAAGAAAGAGGAAAACAATCAAGAGAGTATATGTGACGGAGAGACTGAAAGATCGTTGCCACATAGACAACAAAGAGATTGAGATGGAGAAAATAAAGATGTAGAAGATGTAGGAGAGAGAGAAAGAGAGATATTTTTAGATGAATAGATGTTGTCTGATTTCTCACTGACCGACCAATGCCAAACAAACGATTTGTTCTTCTTTTGCAATACAATTTTCTCTTGATTCCCCCCCCCCCCCTCCACATCTGAAATGTATTCTAATCTTACATGGCACTCATAAAGCGTACACTTGTTTATCAAACTGTAAGGCATTTCCATTAGCTTTGTCCATCACCATTGGAAATCTTCGTATCATGCAATGTCGTGAAATTACGTAATCTGAATTTGATTTCTGAAGGCAATACAATATGGCAGGACTAATTTAGATTGCCCTCGAATTAATTGCTTGAAAGTCATTGTGATTTTGTTGTGCATAGATAATATGAGTTCTTGATTGCTTTATATTAATTTTGTTTGATTTTGTTGTTTTATTAATCATTTTTTATAATTAAAAGAGGCCAGTGAGCTCTGTAAAATTAACCACCGAGATCATTACCAAGTTGTAACTCTGTAGAATAATGAACAGGTAATCAAGGTTTAAAGATGTTTCTTTCCTATTTATTTGAGCATGAACACACATAGATGGAAAGACCTGGGCCCCGTCTTACAAAGAGTTGATATCAATCGTAACTTATTTGCGATTGATATCAATCGTAACTATGTACATAAGAGATAGGAGACTGCAAACTTGCGATTGATTGGAGGACTTACGATTGATTTGGATCGATCGTAACTCTTTGTAAGACGGGGCCCTGATATGAAATTACTATTATAGTAAAGAAACATTTTTTTTAAAATCTCCATATCAGATAAGACTGATCTTAAAAATTTCCCGTTAGACATTCTAGCAAAGATTAAGCACACCTCAACACATTTGAAATTATATAGACAATGTCTTTTCAATTCCGTTCAATTAAAGTAAATTCTGATATTGACCTTTACATTCAACGATAAATGGGTTTATATACCTCTCTTTAGAAATCTAGCCATCGGTTTGGTCGAAATTGCAGGTGTGATTTCTCCCGCAAGATTCCGGATACCAGAAAAATAGTTAAAATTCGCTGCGATCCCCATTCATAAGTGACTATTCCCGCAAGATTCTGGATACCAGGGAAAAAGTTGCGACCCCCCTTGGCTTACATGTTAAAACTTAGTTTGTGCGCAGCGCGGCTACCATACAGTTTTTTGAGCAATTAATTTGTATCACTGTTGTGTGTATGAAACTAAGGCTTACACTTTATCACTTGTGTGTGTATTAAACTAAAGGTGTACAATTTTATCACTGATGCGTGTATGAAACTGTATGTTTTAAAAGCATGACAAAAACTGCCAACTGTGTCAAACTATACGCAATGAAAATTTATTAGTAGGACTTTAGATAGTACAGACGGCGCAAGTAATTTCGTAACCATCGACGTAGGGTCCACAATCCAAGCCATCACCCACCTGACACCGAACTTCTGTCATATACAACAGCGCACCATTCTGATTCCCCAGGGTACCCGCTTTAGGAACCATCTCTCGGTCCACACACACTAATTCCGATCTATTGTGTTCGTATTTCGCTGCCATAATATAACCAGCGTACTCTAAACGCCACTCTTGAGAAGGACACACGTTGCGGGCAGGAATCATGAGTTTGCTGGTGCGGCCAGAGGGCGCCCTGCAGACTGCACAGGTCGGAGTGTGGTCATGCATTGGTTGGATGCGTAAAGGAGCACTATGGACTTCGTATTCAGAGGAGTAAAGTAGGGCTCGGTGATCATGTAAGCCAGCTTGTACTTCGTCATAGATAGGCTCGTCCGGCATGCAGAGATGATTTGAGCCGCTACCAGTATGAATGTAGTGTGCACCTCCAATAGATCCTGAATAAATCACAAAGCAATGTAACGCAAACAAAGGTAAACCCACTTAAAGATGAAGTTGAGTTCGGATCATGCGATTGCATTGTGATAGAAACGATGTGGATCGATCAGAAAAGGTTGATCATCTAGCATATAAGTATTCGTGTGTATTGCAAGGTTCTGGAATCATCAAAATGATAAGAAATTTGGCCAAGTCTTGGTAAAGTGACAAGCTCTGTACACAGACAGATGTATATGGAACTACACGAACACGTGGCATAACAATCCGTCCCAATTTTTACGATGTTACATGCCATATTTAGAATATAAAGGTATTTGAAGAGCCATGCTTTTCAGGGAACATGATTTAGTTGATGTTCTTCCACACTTGCATAATAACAATGATAACTCTCACAAATTATTTTTCACCTCTTTTTAGAACTTAACCATCTCTTTAAGTTCAAATTCATCGGAATCTAAACTAAGAATGATGTAGGACTAATGACAATCACTGGCGGCAACTCCGGAGCACGTTAAATAAATAATTTTCTTCCAGGTACGAATTTAAACCTGGGTGGAGAGTGGCAAATGTAGATACATATCTTGGCAAAGGACATTCGGAGGGGTCTGGGACTCGAACCTCGAACCCTATGATCTACTGCCTCTACGACACCTCTACAGCCCATGACGGCATCTCAATTTTGCACTGGAGCTCATCCTCATGGTTAGTAATGGGATTACATAGCTCATTTGCCAAACAGCGGTCTAGCGGTACGTCACCGGAATGTTTATCACATGGTTTGCGGTTCGAGTTCTGTTTTTAATGTGCGTTGGCAAAAATGTATCTACATTTTCCACTCTCCACCCAGAAGTAAAAAGTGTGAATCTGGTAAATATTAATTATTGAATGCCTTTAGGGTTTTAGGGCAGCTGGGCTAATGCCATGGTAATTTTTTATATTACTTGTAAGCACCTAGATAATCCCATAGAATCGATATTTGCGCAATTTAATTGTAGCTATCATTACTACCTTAATATCAGTGAATTTTATGATATCTTTGGTACAGCATGACCTTTAGTTCAATATTTTTTTTAAATCGTGCTTTTACTGTATAAATAAGTGTAAAATCACAATACCTCAAAGAAACTTGGCATACGTTTGTGCATCCACGTAACCCTCACCCATTCTTATGCACTTAAGTTTCGGCCAGTGACGCTATTGAAGGCATGTGTTTCGTTTGTGATGATGAAGAATTTTTGCACAACACCAGATTGATTATAGATTACACTAACATTGACTTTCGAATAAAATAACTCGAGGTTATTTCATACTCTATTATGTATCCAAATATGTTTGAGATACGTTAAAGTGTTCGCACAGTTCAATATGAGGGATGGACAAGGCTATTGAAATTGCCTGTGATTGATTTTAAGAAAGTCCTTGCAATCATGTCAAAACCATGTTTAAAGTTTCTTCTCCATGTGATATTGCCCATCTGTACCAACCTGAATAGATGAGTTCTGCATCTTCGGGACATACATCGTTACCCCAGCGAGTATAGATGATACCAGGAAGGTTCGTCATGTTACCTACTGGAAACACTATCGGATCAGTTGGGTTTGGTTCGTCGCAGTATGAAGTGGGTGTTTCTTGAGCTAGAATTTAAAACATTCAGAAGTTTTATCGGAATCCATATAGACAAAATTCAACTGTATTCCAGACGTTTATTCGTAGTATTAGGAATGCCATCATTAGTGGTAAATTCAATCGAGTTTAAACAAACGGGATTCAGCTGTGTTTGTTTAGTCGTTGTGTGAAGTGGGTGTTTCCTCAGCTAAAATGTTAAACATTTAGAAATTTTACATATCGGAATCCATAGACAGAATTGATTTCATAACGGATAGTATCAAATGTGGTCAATTTAATAAAGCCTAAAAAGCTACAAACATATTTTTGTTTATTCTGTCCGGCTTATGTTCTCACCATATCAATGACTAACTGCACGTATGCTTTTTTGAGTGGCGGCCGTTATTACATTAGAACAGGGGCGTAAATCCCGGGGGATGGGGGGATGCATCCCCCCTCGCTTGAAGGAGGGAGATGGCCTGTAAAAATATCCCCCCCTGAGGTTACCAAAAAAAAAGAGAGAAAAAAAAAGGAAGAAGAAGAAGGGGAAAAATGTGATTGTTTCAATTTCAGCATAATGCATGAGAAATGAGTTATTTTTTTTATGTATGTATAGCTGTATAGCCTACACGTATACAGTATGCCACGATCATTAAGAGTAGTTGCGCGACGTGCGCGAACAAGTACTTCATAAACTTCAGAATAATTGTTCGTTATTTTGCAAGGTATTATTATAGCCCAGACGCAAAGTGCGCCAGCGCGCGAGCGCTTAAAAAATGCAATCATGTTCAGTAGATGCCCGCCCCCCCCCCACACACACTCAGTGTTATTTAGGGTACGCGTATGCTCGTTCCCTCCCTTTGAAAGCACCCCCCCCCCTATCTCAGGACTGCCAACATTTCTGAATCCCCCTTTCGCCGGCTTTTCGCTGGCTTTTCCTGCCTTGGAGACCCCCCCCCCCCCCCCCCCCAATTTCAGGTGAGCTCTAGTCGATCGAGGGGTCTGGGGGCCAATGTTTTTACTTTTCAAAATGAAATAATACTGAATGAGCTTTCAAAGCTAGCAGGAATTTCAGGAATTTGATCCCGGGATTTGATCGATTTTTCTATGATATTCAAGATATTTTATAACCCCCTTTTTACATTTCTCAGGAGTCCAAAGAGAGAGAGAGAAAAAAAACATTCCCTTTTTTAAGAGATCTCCGGGTGAAAAGTCAAATACACCCCCTTTTTTTAACAATTCTCGGGCCGGATTTAGTCGCGCGTAAAAAGTACCCCTTTCCTGGAGATTTTAGGAACGCGCATGCGGTCCCTCCGATCCCGGAGTGTGTGTGTGTGTGTGTGGGGGGGGGGTAGATGAAGACTGAAGTTCCAGACCTGGCTTGTTCAAGACTTACAGTGGCCGTTTGTCTCTTCAGTTATTTCAAGGTAAGCCTGTACACATTCTTATTATTTTTATATTTGAGAAAGGATTAGGCTGAGGAAATTAAAGAATTCATTAGATTTAATTAACAAACACAGTACACGTATCATTATATGAATTCCAGAAACATTTTTTAAGAGGTGTGAAAACTGTGAACGCATTTGATTGACAGTGATAAATAATACGGTAACTGTTGCATTGCCCAAGTCCTACACGGTGGTTGTCATTTGTTCACACCTAAAATTTAAGGGACGAGGGGATGATATTTAAGGGCTGCAATGCATGTGATGTTTGTGTAGGTCTATGACTGAATTAATTTGTTGTTTATATTGAATGAATTGAATTGAATTCAGATAAATTGGGCTTAATAAGAGTCGAAAACGGTGCAACGAATCGTCTTCTTTCTATAATAATTAAATCAAACGTCTAAGCTTTTCGCGCTTCGCGCGGGAAGAGGGAAACTGGATTCAGACAAGGATTAAGAGTCGAGAACAGGACACCTAAACGCCTGCTTTCTCTAATAATTTAAGGAAACGTCAAGGCTTCCGCGCTTCGCGCGAGAGGGGGAAACTGATTTCAGATAAATAGAGCTTATTAAGAGACAAAAACGGTACATTGAATCGTCTGCTTTTTCTAATAATTTAATGAAACGTCAAAACTTTCGCGCTTTGCGCGGGAGGGGTAAACCGGATTCAGACAAAGATTAAGAGTCGAGCATGGTTTAACAAATCGTCTACTTTCTCTAATAATTTAATAAAATGTCAAAGCTTCCGCGCTTCGCGCGGGAGAGAGAGGGAGAAACTGAATTCATACAAGGATTAAGAATCGAGCACGGTACAAAGAATTGTCTACTTTCTCTAATAATTTAATGAAACGCCAAAACTTCCGCGCGGGAGGGGGGACGGGGGGGGGGGAACTGAATTCAGACAAGGATTAACAGTCGAGAACGGTACAGCAAATCGTCTTCTTTTTATAATAATTTAATGAAACGCCAAAGATGTCGCGCGGGAGGGGGGGGGGGGGAATTCATTCAGACAAGGGTTAACAGTCGAGAACTGTACAATAAATCGTCTTTTCCTAATATTTTAAGGAAATATTAATATTAAAATAAAATAAAATAAAATAATTAAAATATTGCCCAAAACCCCTGAGCTTTCGAGGGCTCCGCCCCCTGGACCCCACACCAATTCATGACCTACCAGTGTCACAAATAAGGTATAAAATATGCACATCAGACGATAATTTAATGTATAAAACCCCTGAACTTCTGGGGACTCCACCCCCTGGACCCCACACCTATTTGTGACCTACCTGTGTCTCAAATAAGATATAAAATATGCTCATTTAACCGTTATTTATTACCCGAAACCCCTGAGCTTTCGGGGGCTCCGCCCCCTTGACCCCACGCCAATTCATGACCTGCCAGTATCACAAATAAGGTATCAAAATATGCTCATCTGACCTTCATTTTTTGCCCAAAACCGCGTAGCTTCCGGGGGCTCCGCCCCCTGGACCCCAGGCCGATTCGTGACCTGCCAATATGGTATAAAGTTATGCTCATCGGACGATAATTTGATGTATAAAACCCGCGAGCTTTTTTTTTTTTTTTTTTGGAGAAAGCCCCCCCCCCCGGAGTTCAAGGGGGTTGAGGTGCAATTTTTTTACGAGGCCCCCCCCCCCCCCCCCCCCCCACTGAGTGAAATATATGCCGGCACGTTTTTCAGATTTCAGCACACTAAATTTCAAATTGATTTCAAATGTGGGCCCCCCCCCCCCTAAGAATTCCTGGATCCGCGCCTGCGTTATAGACCTACATTGTGGACTTGTCGGTGCATCCCGTCCGTCTCTACCGTCCCTTCCAGCAACCCCCTGAGGGCCTGGAGGACCTCCTTGTTCAGGAACACCAGGAGGACACATGAAACATTCACCTAAAGAAGAAAAGACATATTTCTTTCATATCAAGTTCAATGATCTGCAAAGTTTAAATTTACACTTCTGTCTGCATAACATCATAGTTTATCCTAAGTGACTCTGTCTGAAGGTTATTCTAAACCTCGATGATAATGGCTTACGTCATTGCGCTTCATTGAAAAATTCTTATTGCTTCTAGTTGACGCATAGATCTTTTAGTTTCGAATATGGATATCTTTTATTTTCGGACTTTGAAGGGACTCGCGTGGCAAGTTTGTTTTTGCATTGAGGGCTGTCTTGTTTTCTCTTTTTTTCTTGTCAACGCATCTGTTAGCTTCAATGATGACTATACTTTCTACGATTTTGGAAATTGTGAGGTCGATTTCCTGATTGTTACATGCTTGTTTCCTAGGCGCCTCAAGGCCTGTGAGGTGTCCTTTCTTCATTGACGTGCCTGGTGAGAGTATCATAATTTGAAAGGTAAATGCAGCATGAACATTTGATTTCCTGGCGCACGAACTAATTTTCTTCATAGGTGAGCCTTCGGGTACGATGGGCATTAGAGAAATCACGAAACTTGTGGTCTATATTTTGAGCTATACTAAATTCATTGCATTTAATTGCCCGATAGGAAATTTGTCATAGAATCTTAGCATATGTTAGTGATAAAAACTTTTAAGAAACTGGAACCTAGTGTTCTTACCAGAGTAGTGGTCTCGTAATCCAGTGACTTGGGTTCGAAACCAAGTCAATGCGCTAATGCCCTTTGGTAAGGCATTAAACCTCATTACCAGGTCCCTCGGAGAGGACCTAAAGCCGTCTGGTTGCTTACTTACAAGCATTTATGCTTTCTTAGCAGTCAGGTAAAATAATCACCACCACCAATTCAACACTAAGACGTATTTGAAACTGGAACACTCTTAGGACCACGGATTCTCTGGGATTCTCGATGTCACGAGGTTGAAAAAATGAAAATGAGTCCAACATCTGTCAAGGCTATAATTTATTGATGATAATTATGGTAGGACTATACTCTTTTATCA